CCCACTTTTTCGACAAATGTTTCCTTTTCAAATATTTTATTTTATTTTAATTTAATTATAATATTTTCGGAAAATCGGAAGATATTTCCAATATTTTGTTTTATTTAAATAAAAATTATTGTTCCTATATTTATAAAATCATATTTAATTTATTATTCCTGGAATTATTATTTATTTATATTAATTTAAAAAATATAATATATTCCTATTTATAATCCATAATATTTCAAATTGTGGTTTCTATTTAAAAAGATAGTGTTGTGTTATTTGTCATATATGTTCCATTTTCAAAAAGTTCAAGTTATAAGGAAATTCCGAATTATATTCCTATATATATAAATATCTGTAGTAATTTTCTGATCGCTCTCTTCCCACAAATCCGACCTTTGTTAGTCTCGCGACGCCCGCATTCACTGCTCACATGTTTTGCCAGCAAAGTCAAGCAAGAGCGGCCCTTTTCACCACACATTCCAGCATGACAATGTCGGATCAAGTAGGCAATGTAGGACTTTGATCTGGAGGCGGAGGATCCTGCTGCAAAGTCATGAGATCTGTGCTCAATTTCGGGGAGGAATCAGGTGGTGGCATATTTGGCATGTCCAGGTTGAGCTGCGCTTGGCTTGGAGCGTCCAACGCCTCATTTTCTTGCAGCCCACTTCCATTTGAATGTGTGCCTGTCTTTGTTGCATCGGCAGGACTCTCTTCAACAGAGGCGGTTTTTGCTTTTTCTGGCGCTACCGCCACACTTGTCGACCGTGATGCTGTTTGGTGGGCATCTGAAGCCTGTGTTGCTGTACTCTGTGATGGTTGTGCGGAGGGGGGTGAGGTAGGCGGGACCCATGGAGCAGCTGCAGGGTCAAGCGCGCCTGGAGCTGGCGACGTGGGCGCACCAAAGTATGGCGGGATGAGCTGTGTTGGAGCTTCATAGCCCGGGCCATGGTAGTTTGGCGTGCGCTCATGATTCTCATAGTATGCTTGGGCCTGCTGCTGCGGTGGTGGGTTTGTGGCTAGGGCAGGCGGCTCTATTCCAGGCAATCTCCGGCTGCAACATGCAGCCACATAGTCTTCATATCCAGGGATGATTGGTGGTGGCGGCGTCTGCCCAGGCACTCCATCAGTCCACTGGTATGTCAAAGGGGCATCCATGTAGGGGGCGCCACCTGGTGGATGTGGCGCAGTAGGGGTCATCTGCGCAGGAGGAATCCGTGGGGGAATCTGAACGGGCTGCATCTGTCCAGGTTGCCACCCAAGATCAGTCCTTGGGCTCAATCATGTTATCAACCACACTGAAACAAACTCCAGTAGCCTGCTGGCACCATGTTTTGAGCCGATTGAGGGTCCAGCAAAGCACCTTCAGCGAAGAAGTCGTCCATTTGGTCCCCAGCCTGGTATCGTATCATGCATGCTTTGACTCATGTTTTGACAGAGTTTTCATCTATCTAATCTATCTGATCTATCTGTCCATGTTCATTACCGGCTCTGCACGCCTCCGCTTTTTTCTTTTTGTTCTTTTTGTTTTTACGTTTGCGCTTCTCATGCTCGTAGTGACAGAACTCGCACTCATAGCCATTCAAGCACCTCCAGAAAGTCACCATGGATATCAACTGCCGGTATGTCCACTGCAATCAGCTGAGCAAGTACCCCCGTCCATCCAAAAAAAATACTGCAAAGCAAGTTATTGCAAAATTGACCACCGTCACTCAAGCAAATCAGTTGGGAGAAGCCAGCACAACAAGTCAAGCCAGTCAGTGCACACCAGGCGTCCAGTCGCCTGTTTCGGGGATAAAAGCAGCATCTCTTACAATTGCCACTCTCATGAAACTCTGAGCCCAATGACCTCAGAATCCACATGCATCAAGCAAATTGAATCCTGTTTCGTGGTTGGCAAAGAACTGCAGCTACTCCGAGTGTAAGACTTAAGAGTACCGTGGCTGTTTGGTGCTTTGACTCGGATTCTTTGATTCGAATCTATTTATCTGTGGCAGCGACGGGTGCAAAGCACCCGGAGGTGGTTTTGGAGCAGTTTCAATCGTTCTGCCACTTGCAGCTAGCGCAGCCTGAGCATGAAACTTCACAATCAGAAGGAAGAAGTAGCGACAACCCAAATTACTAGTTCGGCTGTAGGTCTGCGTGGGAAGCAATTTTTTGCGGGGACAACTACCCAGTGCAAACTTGCAACAACTTCAACCCACCTGTCAGATCATTCTTCCCGCAAGTGCTCATCAATGGTTCACAAGTCTCATGCCCAACGCCGCATGGCACCTGCTGCCGCTCTGCTTCTGAGTCTGCATCTTCGTCGTCACTGTCGGGCTTTCCCAGAGCAAGCCTTGCAAATTCGGTGCCCAAGGCTCCAGCAGGTTCACGGACTGGAGCAAAAAGTGAGCCACAGGATGGATTTGGCGGAGTCGGAAAACCATATCCATGCTGACTCTGGCTTTGGTAGAGCACAGAGGCCTCGCAATTTGAATGCCAACATCAAAACGTCATCAGGGCTGAGCACAGTAAAACCCTTGCCTGGCTGGGAGCGACAGACAAAGGGAACCCTGAGTGCGTTTCGCACTCTTGAGTTGCAGGTGCTGTTTGACCTCATTTGCAGAGCGCAGCTGAATGGCACCCCACACACCAGGACAAACAAATCGAGTAAAAAAGAACAGCACCAAAAATTGGAATATACAAAGCCAGCATGAGCCAAACATGTTGCCACACACCCACGTAAGAAAGGTCTATATACTCTGTGATTGGGAGTGTAATTCTTTTCACCACGGGTTTGGTCCTTCAAATGGCCCTCTCTGACTTGGAATCCTGGTGCGTTTGCATCAGCAGAAAGCTTTGCCAATGCAATCAATGAAGTCAGTCACGGCATCAAATTGTTTATTCAATGTAGAATGTCCAAAACACCAACACATTTTTTTTGCTAGGGCGTCCAGGGGGTTGGCCCGAAATGAAACCACATTTAAAAACACCAACACATGGTGAAAGCAATGCCCATGTATGGCCAAGGTCTGGGCTCGAACATGGTGCCACTGTTGGTGGCACCTGGCGGCCAGTGCAGCACCGTTCATGTCAGATCCCATTCAAGCAAAGGCACTAAAATGATCTAAAACACAGGCATCTAGAGACAATCGCAAGGATGGCTTAGAACAAAGGAGGGCGGGAGCGACAATTCTTAGGACTTGCTCGAGCCCACTAGTGAGTAGTGCGCTGATGGAGTTGCAATTTAGAAACAGTGCCGCGGCTGCTTTCGGAATAAAAGCATCCTTGACCTTGTGAGGGGGGCCTTTGACATGCAAATCGCATGCTGCGGTCTTTCGCACGCGTGGTGCCAGACGCAAGTCACAAGTGTTTTCTTTGCATCTATCTTCACTTCATCAACCTGAACTTATGCAAACCCTATCTGAATCAGAACTACGCAATATTTCAAGAAAATGCTGTTGCATCTCCGCAGAACGGGAATTGTGATCTGCAATGAGCTTGGCAAAGCTCCAGAACGAACTGAGCTGCAGCGCTGGCAGGTTCAACTCAATGGCAGTCTCTAAAACAGGAAAAGGATGGAACTGATTGAAAAGGGATTTCTTGGATACTGGGTGATAGAGTCACATCATGTCACATCAGGTGGAGGTGCTCAATTCTTTCACTTGTAACTTATAAAACTGAAAGCTAATGTACAAATGTGGGAGCAAAACGATAGTCTTACAGAATCATTTTGGCGTAAGGTATCTGCCAATCAGTTTGGAGAAGACTTGTTATTCTTGATCAGTCCAAGTAGAGCTCATCAAGGGCGCATGAGGTCTCTTCTCTACCTTCATTAGACACATTATTGCCAAACATGTATCTTAGACCGTGCCTAGGTAGTCCCTCCAGTTGAGAGGTAAAAGATCAAATCATTCTTGCCTTGCACGCTCACCCAAATTGAGCTTCATTGGTACAGGGCTCAGCTACTTTCTTTCAAGCACCTGACTTTATGACACGGTTCTTTCGTGATCCTGGCCCGTCTTTCAAACCGCGAGTGAGGATCCATCAAGAATGGTCGGCGAGATGAAATACAGAGGACAGAGGGTTGGACTGCGAGGAACCGTGGCCCGTGAGGTCTCCCAACTTAGCTCCCGAGGAAGTGGACTGAGTACCTACAAGACCTGCAGAAACAAAGCACCGACAAAAAGCCAGCTGTTTGAATTGCGACAGCTGCGGAAAGAGACATGATTGGGACAAATCCCAGCGACTTGATTAGGACTTGACATGGGGTGGACCTGGAGAAGGTTCCATACAACAAATGTTGGCGCTGTTAAGCCGTTTCTGCTTGTCTGAAGCAAATGTTACGAAACGAAAATGCCACAGGACAGCCGTGCTTCTTGCATGTTGGCTCCGGGCTCATCTTTATTTCCTGCACTCGCCCTAGCAGGCCCTCACTAAGGCGTAACACACATCAGTGCATGTGAGCCACTATCAATTTCACAGATTGAACAGGTCGGCTGGTCAGCTGGTCAGTTTGCGCCGTGAACTCTATAAGTTAAATAAACCCTTCTACCTTTGGTGAATTACGCAAGTAATTACAGTATGTATATTATTGATATTGTTGATCATATTTAGCCACTCCAGGAAGTATCAAGAAGCCACCTCCTTCAGTGGCAAAGGGCCCCCAAAGAGCTCGTACCTTCCACGCTGAAAAAACCGTTGAATGCACAGCAAGGCGAGGTATGACAAACCAACACGGGAGTACAAGTCTCACTGCATTCTGGAATGTCTCAGGCCGCCTTGTGTCTGAAAATAAGGAGGTTCCGGTGGGTGAAGGAGTCATAAGTGGCGGAGTTGCTGGTAGAATATTGGCGGCCTCCCACTGGCTTCATGGCAGCGCATGCAACTCGCAGAAGAATTTCTTAAGTTGGCAATAACATCTGACAGCCCTGATTTATACTGAATCCGTTGATAAGGTCATCAAGAAAAGAACAACACTGCGTTTACTGCAGGTCTGAGAAGCCAACCAATCCAGACCTGTTCACTTTGTAAACTCTTTCCACACTTGAATACTGCAACCACGATAACCACCGAAAGCCGTTTCATTGATACAACATTCGCGAGGCAACAGGTCAGGACGAAATGTTTAAGCACCCCGCCGAACCGGTGGGACTCTTGTTCCTGCTATGGTGAGGAAATAGCATGCAGCAGCCACCCAACAAAGAAACCAATAAAACACGCATGCACATGGCAACTGTTTTGACACACTTCATGCATATCAACAGGGCCATCTATATATATATATAACAAACCATCACAGAAGTTGTCCGGTTTCCCAGGCAAGACCTTGTGAACATAGCCCATCAGGAGCTGCCTAGGCATGCCAAAACTCAGGAGTGGTTGTGAATTTTGGAGTTCTATGTGATTGCTGTGCAAGAGTTTGTGGAGTCTTGTTGCGGCCTCAAATGCTTGCCCATGCTTACCCCATCTGCCACCAACATGCCCAGGTGCTGAGATTTCTTCTACGGAGTCCAGCACAGCCCTCGAGTGAATGCAAACGACTCCCTCAACTGCTTAAGCCATCTTAAGTCGTCATCATGCATCAACACGTTTGCAATTGCAGAAACGGCTAGAAGGTGTGGCTGTCCGCCAGCCTTTTCACAAAGCCCTGGTAGTGCACCTGGAGCAATTGGAAACACAGAGCGTTGAACCAACACCCCAATGTCCTTAATTGTTCTTGTATTTTGGTGCGCCTGTGCCGGGGCAGTGCTTACTGGCTGGCTATTGTCCGTCGGAGTGTGTGAAGGTGAAAATCCAGATGGCACATCGATGAATGTATTCCTGAGCGCGACACAAACATCAGCTGGCAGGGAACGCATCATTCCTTCATCAAAAACTTGGCCACAGGCTTCACAGGCAAAGGCAGGCCGTCCTGGCAAAAACACAAAGCAAAATCCCAATAACAGAAATGATTCGTATGCATTCATCATAATTGTGTATACCTCATCATGTTAAATGTTACAATTATAGTTACTATTTCTATCTATCTATCTGTCTACCTATCTATCTATATATATGTTCTTTTTCTCTTGATTGTTTTCTTTCGTTCTATCTTTCTATCTCTCTATGTCTCTATCTTTCTATCTTTCTACCTTTCTATCTTTCCATCTGTCTATATTTCTATCTATCTAATCCATCTGTCTGTCTATCTGTCTATCTGTATATCTCTCTATCTGTCTATCTATCTATCTATCTATCTATCTAGCTAGCTATCTATCTATCTATCTATTTATCGATCGATCGATCGATCGATCGATCTATCTATCTATCTATCTATCTATCTATCTATCTCTCTCTCTCTCTCTCCCTCTCTCTCTCCCTCTCTCATTTTCCTTCTTTCTTGCTTGCTTGCTTTTCGTTCTATCTTTCTATCTTTCTATGTTTCTGTTTTTCTTTCTTTCTACCTTTCTATCTTTCTATAATTTCTATCTATCTAATCTAATCTAATCTAATCTAATCTAATCTGAATCTAATCTAATCGAATATAAATCTAATCTATCTGTCTGTCTGTCTGTCTGCCTGTCTGTCTGTCTCTCTCTCTCTCTATCGATCTATCTACCTACCTTCCTTTCTTTCTTTCGTTCTATCTTTCTATCTTTCGATCTTTCTACCTTTCTATCTTTCTACCTTTCTATCTTTCTATCATTCTAATCTATCTACCTATCTTTCTATCTAGTCTACCTAATCGTTCTAATCTACCTAATCTTTCCGATCTTTCTGATCTATCTAATCTGTCTGATCTATCTAATCTTTCTAATCTATCTTTTCTGTCTAATCGATTAAGTCGATTTGATCTCTCTTATCTATCTATCTATCTCTCTAATCTATCTATCTATCTATCTATCAAATCTAATCTAATCTAATCTAATCCAATCCAATCCAATCTAATCTAATCTATCTATCTATCTATCCTTCCTTCCTTCCTTCCCTCCCTCCCTCCCTCCTTCCTTCCTTCATTCCATCTATCTCTACCTATCTATCTATCTATCCATCCAGCCATCCAGCCATCCATCTATCTATCCTATCTATCCTATCTATCTATCTATCTATCTATCTATCCATCTATCTATCCATCTATCTATCTCTCTCTATCTATCTATCTATCTATCTTTCTATCTATCTATCTATCTATCTTTCTATCTATCTATCTATCTATCTATCGATCGATCTATCTCTACCTATCTATCTATCCATCCTTCCATCCATCTATCTATCTCTTTCTATCTATCTATCTATCCATCCATCCATCCATCTCTATCTATCTATCTATCTATCTATCTATCTAATCTATCTAATCGATCTAATCTATCTAATCTATCTATCTAATCGATCTATCTAATCGATCTAATCTATCTAATCTATCTATCTAATCTATCTATCTATCTAATCTATCTATCGATCTATCTATCTATCTATCTATCTAATCTAATCTAATCTAATCTAATCTAATCTAATCTATCTATCTATCTATCTATCTATCTAATCTAATCTAATCTAATCTAATCTAATCTAATCTAATCTATCTATCTATCTATCTATCTATATCTATCTATCTATCTATCTATCTATCTATCTATCTATCTATCTAATCTATCCATCCATCCATCCATCCATCCATCTATCTATCTATCTCTATCTACCTATCTATCTAGCTATCTATCTATCTATCTATATATATATATCAATATCTCTCTCTCTCTCCCTTTCTCTTTTTCTTTCTTTCTTGCTTGCTTGCTTTCGTTCAATCTTTCTATCTTTCTATCTTTCTATGTTTCTGTGTTTCTATCTATCTATCTATCTGTCTGTCTGTCTGTCTGTCTGTCTGTCTGTCTGTCTCTATCTGTCTCTATCTTTCTCTATCTGTCTCTATCTGTCTCTATCTGTCTCTAACTATCTATCTATCTATCTATCTAGCTAGCTAGCTAGCTATCTATCTATCTATCTATCTCTCTCTCTCTCTCTCTCCCTCTCTCATTTTCCTTCTTTCTTGCTTGCTTGCTTTTCGTTCTATCTTTGTATCGTTCTATCTTTCTATGTTTCTATGTTTCTATGTTTCTATCTATCTATCTATCTATCTTTCTATCTATCTATCTATCTATCGATCGATCTATCTCTATCTATCTATCTATCCATCCTTCCATCCATCTATCTATCTCTTTCTATCTATCTATCTATCCATCCATTCATCCATCCCTCTCTATCTATCTATCTATCTATCTATCTTTCCTTCCTTCCTTCCTTCCTTCCCTCCCTCCCTCCCTCCTTCCTTCCTTCCTTCCATCTATCTCTACCTATCTATCTATCTATCCATCCAGCCATCCATCTATCTATCCTATCTATCCTATCTATCTATCTATCTATCTATCCATCCATCCATCTATCTATCTCTCTCTCTCTCTCTGTCCGTCCGTCCGTCCGTCCATCCATCCATCCATCCATCCATCTCTCTCTCTCTCTCTCTCTATCTTCTCACTGCATTGTGGATCACGGTTCAATTTGGTTGCTGTCCACTGGGCCATCCACATTGGTCTCGCCAATTGCCGACTGATTCGTCAGATCGCCTGTGCCGCCTTCACCTGCACCAACTGGTTGATTTTACTTTTCAAAAAACGGACCTCAAAATACAACTCAAAACATGTCGCTGATATTGGTCCAGATTAATTCTAGATCAATGCAGTTATATAATTGGAATCATCGTTATGGATGGGCTGACGGTGCGCGGTCACTATTCTAGGTTTGGACTACAGGTCTGTAGCATACTTCCAATGCAATTCATTCAGCACTACCATACAAAAGGCATCAACACGCCTTTGTGACCCAGAGCTGCGTCTGACAAGGGCAATGGCCGCTTGGCTGGCATCAATACACCTTGATGACTGTTCATGTTTTAACTGCGGCGCAAACTCTTGATTGAAAGTAAACCGATTCAAACCTTAACCCCGCCTCACGCTTTGACGAGGCAGGCCTGCATTTCAATCGCTGTATATACTCAGCTGATAGCCAGCTGAAATCGCAAACAATACACGGGATGAATGGCGAGCCTGGCAAGTCACAGGCCATTGGCCAACGGCCAAAAACTATCTCCATGCTGAAAAAACAGAAATGGCGCAGCAGAAACAAACTATCCGAAATTTTCCACGGAATAACACCTCAGTGCAACTTGTGGTTGCACTATGTTGCACTTGGTCCGCCAAAACAAAAAAACAAACAATAAAATCTGGAACAAAAACATGCAAAGAAGCAACGATCCACCTGCCCGGTAGTCTCACTGCAAGCATGCTTCCGCTGCTTTTAATCTCGCACAACAGTTTGGAAATGCGCCTGTGCAACACCATCAAAATCAACACTCCTTGGTGCCATTCCAAATTTTCTTTACTTTTAATACAGGTTTGTTGAAACATGTTCAAATCTTTAGCGCGGCGTTTCATGGTAACCCTGCACTACCACCTGCTCTCACACAATTTCAACAAAAGTCTTGCAAAAAACGTGTTCAAACTAGTTTTGCGAACACTGCTGCGTGGCATGTATTGTAACCCCCCTTGTGGCAAAATAATTTGATATTTGTTGCTCTGCGTTTTGCACGGTTTTTGGGCAGCACCGTGACAATGGTGGTCGCCACGTTTTTGCCTGAAAGGGCAGCACACCGCACAAATGTTGCAGAACAAACCCTGGGGCATGGGGCTGTCAAGGTTTTTCGTGACAGGGGTAGCGGGGCCTGTTCCAAAAACCCGGCCATGTTTTTTTAAGCGAGGCGAGTCTGCTTTCAAAGTGAGGTGAGTTTAGATCACATGGCATGGAAAACATGATAGTTTATGTCTGAAGAAGGGGTGGGAAAGAAATTGTCGGTCCTTCTGCATTGAAATGGAAGAATGGGATGGAATGAGGCCTGAACACAAACACCACCACCGTCACCACAACGACAACAACCTCAACAACCACAACAACCACAACAACCACAACAACCACAACAACCACAACAACCACCACAACCACAACCACAACCACAACCAACAACACCAACACCAACACGAACACCAACACCAACAGCAGCAACAACAACAACAACAACCACAACCACAACCACAACAACAACAACAACCACCACAACCACAACCACAACCACAACCACAACCACCAGAACCACAACCAACAACACCACAACCACCACAACCACAACCACAACAACGACAACCACAACCACAACCACAACCACCACAACCAACAATCCACAACCCACAACCCACAACCGCCAACCACCAACCACCAACCACCAACCACCAACAGACAACAGACAACAGACAACAGACGACAGACGACAGACAACAGACAACAGACGACAACAAACAACAACAAACAACAACAAACCACAACAAACAACAACAAACAACAACAAACAACAACAAACAACAACAAAAAAAAACAACAAACAAGAACAAACAACAACAAACTACAACTACAACAAACAAACAACAAATAAACAACAAACAAACAAACAACAAACAAACAACTACCAAACAACAAACAAACAACTACCAAACAACAACAAACCACAACAAACAACAACAAACAACAACAAACCACAACAAACAACAACAAACAACAACAAACAACAACAAACAACAACAAACAACAACATACAACAACAAACAACAACAAACAACAACAAACAACAACAAACAACAACAAACAACAACAAAAAACAACAACAACAAAAAACAACAACAACAACAAACAAACAAACAAACAAACAACAAACAAACAACAAACAAACAACAAGCAAACAACAAGCAAACAACAAACAAACAACAAACAAACAACAAACAAACAACAAACAAACAACAAACAAACAACAAACAAACAACAAACAAACAACAAACAAACAACAAACAAGCAAC